AAAAAATAAGAGTGCTTAGTCTCCTAAAAAACAGGTAGTGGCCCTCTCAAATCTACCTTCCCAAAACTACACAATGTAGCTAAATGAAAGGAGTTCACCATTAGTCGTATTCCTCCTGATTAGTCACTACCATATATTAGACTCCAAAGCCTAACCTAATTAGCCACTACCAGCCCATAGCACCCAGGAAGACTATAGACGGTGAATAATCCACAGCAGTGGCTCCTTAACAGTGGGCTCTTTCACCCCCTACCTCAATGGGAGAATGGCGGCTCGTCATCAAATCCCTAATCAGTGTGATTTGGAAGGCCAAGAAGCTGAAAGTTTTCTATTGGATATTTATTCGAGAAAGAACTGAAACACTTGCAATAGGATCCAAAGGCAGCTCCCTAATCTGCTAGTTTCCTCTAGCTGGTACATCATGTGTAAAAGTAATTTGTCCCTTCGGGGACATCTGATCTGTAAAAGTAATTTGGTGAGTCGACATCACCCATTTTTCCAATACCCCTTTGTGCCTACTAGTTGATCCAAGCTCCTTAATTCTTTTGGCTTAGGCTGGTGTTTCCTACAAGGTTGTGAAACCGCCATTTCCCAGCTTTTGGAAGGCTCTCCTTTCAACAGTCAAGCACTTATTTTGTGATCCAATGTCGTGACAGCCAATCTTTGGAGACTCTGGTTCGGGAGAAACCAGAGAGTTTTTAAATAGGCAGAATCTAGTCTTGAGAAACTATGGGATCTTGCAAAAATCTTTGCCTCCGCTTGGTGCACTCTCTCTAGTGTTTTTTGTAATCATGATCTTATGCATATTGTCGGCTGTTGCTAATTGAGAGTTTTTTTTGTAACCCATTACATCTGTGGGGATATCTCATTGCTCTTTCTTTGTATGGGATTCTTTCATCAATGTAAGTTCAGTTTCTTATCCTGAAAAAGAAAAAAAAAATAAAGGTGATTAGGAGGATGTCTGGAATATTGCTCACAATTTAATTCCTCTGTTTGGGCTTTTGCCTTTATGTGTTCTCTTTTTCTTTTTCTTTTTTATTATTTACCTTTCCTTGTGATCATTGATCACAAAAAGCACTTTCCTTAATTTTTTTGACTATTAGGCTTACCAATCACTCTTGTTCGGGCCCCGAGTATTCCTACCACACAGCTAGGTTGTATTCCTACCACACAGCTAGGTTTTTTTACCATGGCCACTTTCCTGTAATTATTTTCTAATGGCTCAAGTGTTTCTGTTGGCCTGTGCTCTGTATGGAACTTCTTGTAACTTCATTCCTCTTAATGAAAGTGCCTTTTTAAGCTATTCAATAAAATTTCTTGATAAGGGTATAGAAGGTCAATTCGCACAGTTTTTTCATTTAGGGAGGGAGAGAGAGAAAGAGATGCCAAAACTGAATTTCTAAGAATTGAACCAACTGGACTGACCAAGCCAACAAACCAACCAAAATCGAACAAATCCGACTGAAACCGACAAAGTCTATAAAAATGAGATCAATACACTAACTTTTTATTTTATATTTTATGAAATCAAACCAACCAATACATGCTGTTCGAACAAATTAAACCAACTCAACTTGCAAATTTCGTACTTTTTGAGATACAGGTTGCACCTGCAGAAACCCTCTTTCCCCTTGATGGTTTCAAGGGACATCAAACGCAAGAACAGAACGGAATCATCTTGGTCAAGTTTGAGGTTAATTTTTCTTTTGATTTATCCAAAGTTGCATTGGTGACCACCGTGTTCTCTTTTCAAGTTAGAGTGTTGGTGGCCATTGGCCAAGCTGAATTGGAGAGAGAGTGTGGGTTGGAATCAAGCTCGATTTGCAAAATTCCTTGGGAGTGGGCCGAGTGGCTACAGTTATCAAACCTTTTTCAGACATGGCGAGGGCTGTAAGGTAGTCCTTACAAATTCTTGATATTCAAAAGTAAAGTTGCCCTAAGGCTTACAACCGCCAGCCAATCCGAGAGGGCTGGAGTCTCTCCCAATAGCTAGTGCTATTCCTTTACTAAAGCAAAAAACTGACTACCCTAATCCCAAGGGGATCCTTTCATATAACTCCCCCCTTACATCCGTACCACCCCTCCCCATAACTAACTGCTATGAGAAATTCCCATCCTGCCCCTCCTAGTGTAAGTATTCACAATGGGTGGATGGTTTCCCTATGTCAATGCAGTTATGGGGCACAAAGCTGGTGGCTGAAGTTTGCAATCTAGAAATTTCTAGAGGCGGCATCATTGCTATAGATGTCCCCCTCCATTTGAGATCACAAAATGTGGTGACGGAGTTGGCTTCACTCTGTAGAGGGTTAGTGCAATGGTGGGGATCTATGCTGAGGTTTGTTGGTCAAAGAATATTTTATTTTTGGGACAAAATGGATACAGGTAAAAAAAAATCTCAACAAAGATGCCTCCCTCATCAGATTCTCTCTTATTTCGTGCATTCCTGGTTGGAGGGGGTAGAGTTGGTTGGTGGTGGGTTCAATTCCAGATTTGGTTTTCTCGATCACCAAAGATGTCGTTGTTTTCAACTTTTTACATCTCCAGCTAAAAATGCTTTATGTTCTCATTATCTTAGTTATGCTACAACCTTCCTTTTTCATCTCTCTTTCAAAAGTTGATTTTGATGTCTAAGACAGATAGGCCAAGTTAAACCCAATAGTTGATATGCTTGAGGGTATTCTAGCAAGCAGGTGAGATGTTTCAACCCAAGAGTCGCTCTCTCCATTAGCTTCCAAGAGAACGTGTGTACTTACTGTTAGGATGAATATTTTAAATCAGGCTTATTTTTCAGAGAAGATTATATTGGCCGAAAAGAAAAGGAGGCCCAATTTGCTAGTGAGCTCATTAAGCTGGGGAACAAAGAAAGGTGTCCTCATGTCAATTCTAGTGCATCTGTCAAGGAAGGCGCAACGTTTTAAAAGGCTAAAGGCGGCCTCGAGGCTTTTTCTCTTGAAAAGGCGAGGCGTAAGCCTCAAGGCGGTATGAGGCGTAAGCCTCAATTTTAATTAAAAGAATTAAACAAATCCTAAATTTGTGTGGTCAAGTATTACCAAACATAATAGTTATATAAAATTATCAAAATATCCACTTGTTACTTGTCACTCAAAAAAAATTCTAAAAAAACATCATAACATCACTACTATTATCACCAATAGAACTTACTTATTCTATAAATTGTTGTCTTTCAATATTTTTAAAGTCTAGGTAGTAAAAGTAGTAATAGATTGAATTGTTACAACTCCTGCTTAGGATTCCATACAAAAAAAACCTTGATATTTTTTAGGAATTGGAAAAATTAATAGTATTCTTGTAATCATTACACGAGACGTATACTTTAAGCCTCAGTGCGTTTTCAAAGAGGCGTAAGCCTCTTCTATGCGAGGCGTAAGCCTCTTATAGTCCAAAGAAGGCGTAAGACTTGAGGCTAAAAGTTAGAGCCTTGCCTCGAGGCGAGCCTCAAGGCGTAAGCCTCAAAAGCCTTTTAAAACATTGGGAAGGCGTACACAATCCTTCCATTTAGTACTACGCCAGACTCTTATGTATCTTCACTGATGCTATGGGGTCACTGCATTGCAGTGGACCATAAGAAGTTTTTTTTCTAATGCTAATGAAGCATCATCTTTTCTATGAGGGGATCAAGTTTTCCCTTTTTTTATAATAAGAGGAATGAGACTATAAAGGCAAACTAACATAGACCAAACTGAAAACAAAAAAGACAAATTACAAAAGAAAGCTCCAACTATTAATATTTAATAATCAAAGGTGATGGAAGTTAAAAAGAAAGCTTTGATTATGAATGCAAGAGGCATTAAATTGCGTTAAACAGTACAATTCAACATAGTATTAGAGCAGAAGATCATGTGTTCGAACCTTGTAACGTTATTCCCAATTATTTTTTATTATTATTTTTTTATATCCGTGTGTCAATGTCAACTTGCGCACACCTCAACTAATCACGGGTCAACTACCTAACCCTATTACATTTGGTTGACAAGGAAACTCGTAGGATATTAAATCCTAGGTAGCTGGCCACCTATTAGCTTAAGCTTATCTTTCAGTTATTTAACACCCTAGACCATCATAATACCAAGTGTCTACCAATAACAACCTCACACATTTGAAGCAAAAGAAAAGCCAAGCAAAGAGACTATACAATATACACCAATTTGGGAAAAGAAGAGACTCTCTAGATAAATCAAAGGTGTTAAATGTTAATCCTCCTAAGGTTACAAGCCAAGCAAAGGATCATCAATAGAATCGGAATGAAGATCTTTGAACTCACAAGGGATGAACCGCAATAATATTTTTGAACTTCTTCCAAATCTCCAATCAATGTTAACTGTTTTCTTTGCACAACATAGGAATCCCCCACACTTGTCTCCAATGGTTAAATACTTCCTCCTTCCACATATTGATTGGTAAACCTCTCGCTTTAATCCATACTCTATAATAAAGGTATAACTTTTGCTTTCCCATGAGTCTTCTTTCCATATTTCAAACTTCACCACAAAATCTTTTGCCTCCATCCACCCAACATAGGCACATAAACCATTTGGCAACTCTCAAACTGAACATTTTAATGGCGCAATTTCTGCACTAATAGGACTTTGCACAGAATTCCCATTGATCATCTCCTTCATTCTCCAAAGCTTCAAGATGAAACAACATTTGGTAGTGATTATCATTTCTTCCCCAACTTGATATTGAATCAGCGATTTCCACTCCCTTCTTTCATCTTTTTTCCTTCCTTTGTTCCTTTATACCACACTCCTTCCTTATTTGGAACTCTTTTAATCTCACCACGTCCCAAGATTTGATTGTTATAATTGTAGGCTACTAGACTCCTTTTTCCTTCTTCAGAAAACTACAAACCAAATCCTAAAACCCTTCCCAACCTACCAAGTTCCTTCCTTCTAGAAAAAATAGGAACTTCCTTTTCCACCGTTTCAATTTATTTTACAAATCTCTACCACTGCTCCGCTTTTGTTGATAGCCTTCTACATCCACAAAACATAATCACATCTTAACTGACAAAAAAATATGTTATTCCTTGGACTACCCAATAAAAATCCTAAGTGATCTCTAATGCAAACTGCCAAAACCAACTGAATTGATAACTATGATATTATTCTTCCAAATTTCTCAACCTTCACTCTTCCAACCATATCTTACACCAAAACTAAAAGACTTGGACTCGACTAAAAATGAGGAAGGAAGCATAAGACTTCTATTCACTCCTACTTCCCTTTTCTTTCCTGCATCTAATTCCTCTAACGTACTCCACTTTTCTCTAGTACTCTCCCAAGACCTCATTGCTTGAATAAAGAAGGGAGAATAACAGTCCAATTATCAAACAAGGTATGCACATCAGTAAGAGTGCCTCGAATCAGGCGGGGGTCAAAAATCCAAATAATTGTGTGAAATAACAAGCTCTTTTGACCTGCTACTATGGCCATTAAAACCTCATATTACTAGCCATGGTAAACAGATACTCTCAGAGAGAGAGCCTCCAGAGCCATAGGATAAAATTGATCTAAAAATTTGTTCTATCATATTATAAGTTAGCCTTCTCAAGAGTTATTTTTCTAGCTCCACCCATGTTTCCAACCCTAAACCTAAGGAATAAACACAATATGATTTCATGGAAAAAGAGACCTTCACAGTTCGCACTGGATTGTGCACCATCATATTTCACAATATGCACAATGATGAATGAAAGATTTTCCCCTGTTCTCAACAGTCACCCACCTATGCACCTGGGATTTCAGATAAATCTAACAGAGAACGGAGCACAAGAGATCCGCAAAATAAGTCCAGTTCAGTAAACTTACAAATGGTATCTTAGAGGCTTTATCGTTCCACACAGCCAAAAATCCCAGAGATGCAAAAAATCCCAAGCCCCCACATAACCAAGCCAGGGCTTCGTACTGAACAAGAGAGAAGAACATCAACAACAACAAGATAAAGATACAAATTGGAGGAGGAATTAAAATACAGAATCCTCAGAAGAACCGATACACCTACCTTCCCAACCGTATCCGCAATGCGATCAATACAGGGCTCGGGCAAATTAGTCCCATTGTCCCAAACCAGTTCGTCGTTCACATGAAGCTGAGAAGGGCAAAAAGTAATAAGAAATCCCACAAAATTTGAGTCAAATGATACTGATTTCGCGAGGAAATTTAGCGATTAGGCTTACGGGTTTATCGGGGACGATGTGTTTGCCGACGGGGAGGCCCATGCCGGAGCGAAGTCGGAGAGATGAAGCGATTGAACGAGTAACAACGCCATCGCCGCCGAGGATCCTTGAGCCAAAATTGCTGAGTCTCCCTGCCATATTTCGGTGCCTTTCCCTCTTTCGAACTCCTAAATCGTCGTCTGTTCCTCGTTTTGAGTTCTTCCCAGATCAGAGAAATGGGCCAAAATATTTACGAAAAAACCACAGAATTGATGCCCTTGAATTTAATATTTGCCCCCAATCAAAATTTGGTACCTGTTTAAAATATTCATTTTTGACAAAGCGAGCATATACCTCTCATCGAAAGGTTGTGAGTTCGAATCCCCTCCCCAACATGTTGTATAAAAAAAATAATAAAATATTCACTTTTATCCTATAGTTTCAATTTTGATCCATTTTAATTCGTGTATTTTTGCTTGATTTGATTCAATACTTTTAAAAAGATATTGTTTTTTCGTGGCATTTACTTTTTATCTCATTCTTTTCCACACAATTTTAACACAATATTATACCGAATATATTTTTTTAAACGTATTCATAATATTAAAGGGTTTCCACTTTGTATAAAATTTGTGTCAGAATTTTACGAATAGAAACCAAATTTTTTACTTTTTAAAACGAATGTTTTGAAAGCAGAGAACTAAAATGAACCAAAGTTTGAAAAATAGTAACCAAAAATTGACATTTTAGAATTAGAGGGACCAAAATGAACTAAAGTTATAAGCACAAAATTAAAATAGTATTTTAATCTACTATCTAAAATTTTCTTTGTCATCTTTATCCTCAACTAGTTAAAAAGTTAAGATATCACATTTTTAAAAGATAGGAACCAACCCTAGATTCAAAATAAATAAATATATATATTACCCAGGATAAAAAGATTTTGTAGCTGGCTTAAATATAGTTCACCAATTTAAAATATAGTTTAGTAGATAAAATATCTATTAATATCTCAAACGCGAGAGTAAATGAATTGAATCTTGAAGCTAAAGTATTGTAATTGGGTACATTATCACAGTTAACTGCCAATTGTCAATTGATTAGAAAGATTTTATAGGCATACAAATTAATTCCAACAAATTATAAGGAAAACTTTCATTTCTTTCAATTCAGAAAGACAAAACCTCTATGTATTATTTTAATATAATTTTAAAAGACAAAAGTAATTAAAAATTATGTTAAAAATATATCAGATAAGCAATAACAAGTTTTCATGAACATATATTCAGAAGGTTATTCCTTGAGACTTCAAGCCACCCAAGCTATCCATTAGGGACATCTTTCATGATTGTTGTATGAGATAATTTCGTAATTGGATGATGATTCCTAGTATGAGATAATTTCGTAATCGGGTGATGATTCCTACTTACGTAACATTCGAGCACCTTCTCCCCATATATAAATCAAAATTTTCATAATCATTTGAGGCATGCATTCTTTTATGTGTTATATATAGAGGCTCCATTTGTTGGGTTGTTAAGTGAATGCAAACAAAATCCCACGTTGGCTAAGGAAGGGAATGATGATGAGTATATAAGAGAGGACAATTATCTCCATTGGTATGAGACCTTTTGGGTGAAACTAAATTCAAAGCTATGAAGGTTATGCCTAAAGCGGACAATATCATACCATCGTGGAGACTATTAACATATGATTTTAGAATTAGCATCACTCCAACAAAGTTAATGTTGAGAATGTGACCAAAGTTTCACATTGGCTAGAAAAATATCATGTGTATATAAGCAACGACAACTATCAGCTCTATTGGTACAAGGTTTTTTTTAATTTTTTTTTTTGAAACAAAAAACAAAATCTTGAGGGCTCTTACGCACAAAGTAAAAAATATCACATCATCGTAGAAATGTTGAGATCAAGAACATTGTCCTATCAAGTGGGGCATCAAAGTCCATGTCTCAAATTTAACTAGGTTGGTAGAACCCTCAGAGTGTAGATCCGTGTTGAGCTCTATTGGATAGGCCGAGAGAAGTTGTCCTAAGGTAGAGTCAAATTCTTAATGCAGAGAGAGCTAATGTAGTAGAGCCAAACTCTTAACGTAGTAAATGTGTTCATAACTCAAAATTTGCCACAAAAGATTTCAAGAGATAAATTAAAAGTTGAACTGAGTCTAACTTGAAAACATGAGGCGCACACAAAGAGAATTGATTGAACAATAACCACACAACGCATAAAAATTTAATAAATATCCACAAAATTCAAAGTAAATAAATAGATAGAGAGTTTTGAAAATGAGAAAAGTCATGTGATTTGTGTAAAATCCCTGTGCGAAGTTAACAAATGTGAGATAGAACTACTACTTTCTGAAGTATTTGTAGGACAAAATATACGAGTTGGAAGGAATGTGAAGTTCATAAAGGATAGGGAAAGGTTTAGAGAACAATGACTTTTCGTGACAATTAAAAAATGTCATAAATGATTAGTTGAAAAATAATTATGACCTTTTGTGACACTTAAAAATTGTCATAAATCATGGTTTGAAAAACAATTATGACCTTCTGTGACAATTAAAAATGTTATAGATAATATGTAAATGTTTAAAAATTGTTATGGGCTAAATAAATAGAACCCAACAAAGCAACGAGTCGGATGTTCGAACGACCAACAACCTGAGCCAATAGGTTAAGACCAAACAAGCCCAAGGCACCTCGACCGACCCGGGCTCGGTGCCGACTTGGGCTCGGTATCAACCCCACCAAGCAGCCCTAGGCCCGATGACAATAGCTGTATCCCTCATGATGTGTATGACTTGAGCGAGACGACATCTCCTAAAGACCTAGGATTAAATCTTCGTAATTCCTCAAGGAATTAGGGTTAAAACCCTTATAAATAGAGAGGCAAAGGAAGCCCCAGAGGTAAGTCTAATCTTCCACTATCCATACACAACAACTCCAAATGCTAACTTAAGCATCATATGGCAAGAACCACGTCGGTTTTAGTGCTATTATGTTTTGCAAGTCTTGTCGATTGCCTTAATTTCAGTAGATTGGTGCAAATTTGGCGAGATTCACAGAGGTCAAATTTCTACATCAACAAAAATAATTATGACATTTCGTGACAGTTATAAAAAAAGTGATAAAAATTGGAAAAATTCATAAATCTCCGTTTTTCCCTCTAAAATTGCACTCACACCATTTTGTGACAATTTTTCATTGTCGTTGAATAATAAAAAAAAAATTCCAGTTTTCGTTTTAACTTTCAATTTTAAAAAATCCGCAAAGCTTTTTTTCCCACAAAAAATGCGCCCCCCAATTTGTGACAGTTTTTTCTCCCCAAACTTTTTTACTGTTCATACTGTCATGGAAGCCAATTTTATACTAAGGAGTGATATTTTAAGGGGGGCTCAATGGTCTTTCATTCAAGAGAATGATTGTTTAGGAATGCAACCAAAGTTCTACATTGACTAGACAAGGAAAAAATCATGGAATCAAGAATGCAACTATCTTCAATTATATGAGTCTTTTTTAGTGGAATAAAAATCAAAGACATATGAGAGTTTATGTTCAAAGTAGACCATATATTCATACATTAATTACGGAAAGATCTCTTATCCTAACCCACCACATTTTTAGTTTTAAAAAGGGGAAAATTCAAACCGCCAACCTATGTAAATAATATCATGACCAATTAAACTATACTCACGACAATACATCACATTAGTGTTAGTTTAACATTTATATTTTGGTAAATTTGAACATAGTTCAACTGGTTAAAACATTTCTCTCCCGTTAATGGACCGTGAGTTTAAATCTCTGTCCATATTGTATTAAAAAAAAGTACTGAGAGTTTTCTATAGTTTGCATGTTAATTACTGAAGGATAGAGAGTAGGTTTCAATAACTATTGCAACAAAAGTCAACTAATTAATTATTTATAATTGATTAATTTTTTTTGAATTCATTTATAATTGATTAATTACGTTTAACGACTTAGTCAAATTAATGGTTTATATTATTAATAGTTTATTTACTTATTTGTAATAAGTTATTTGTTTTGTTCTTTTTACAAATTTGCTTTTTGATTAATTGTGAATTTGCCAAAACATACCACTCAATAGTAATTGACATATATCTCAAAGCAAGAGGTTGTGGATTCGCTTCACATTCCCACATGTTAGTACTAAAAAAATAATAATAATTGCATACTCATTTCATTTTTTATTTCTAAAGAAATACTTGTTTAATTTTATGTTTGATATTGTAGCCAACTTAAGCATAGGTCAACTGGTTAAGGTACCTATATTCGACCAAAATATTGGTAAGTTTGGATTTCCACCTTCATTGTGACATGAAAATCCTAGCCAATTGGAATTAAGAGTCATTTGGGTATATGAACCACTAATTCACAAACACCCAAACCTCCAAGTCGAATTTGATTTCAACCTTAAGGTTTAGGTTAGACACGGACTGCCTTAAGATTAACGCTCTCGAGACAAAGAATAAGTCCTTGGCCTAATAATCGAACACTCCACAAGCTAGTGACCAATCTCACTCTTGAATATTCTTGGTATGCAACTCAAACAAACATGAAATTACAAAGGTTCAAGGAAAACTTCCGCTAAACTTGAAAAGAAAAGAGCTTGATGGTTAATTCATCATCGAAATTGATCTATCTTCTGAACAACCTAATGGCAAGGCTTTAGATAACTCAACTAAACCTTAAATGCCACATCATCAACCCCATAACAAAAAGATGAAAATACCCCTAATTAACATGTTCGAGGAAGGGTAAAAATTGAATAGAAATAAAATTACACAGCAGAAACTCTTGTAAGCAGTCTTAAAGTCATAGGAAGGAAATTGTATAACTCAGTGGGCTTCTCTTGGATGGTCTCCCTTGTAAAGCAATGTTGTAGTCAAAAGATGTCAAAACTTATCTCACTACTACAAATTCGAGCTTCAACGACAGTTAAAAACTGTCATTAACATAATTCGTGATAATTATAAATGCCATATAGATTAAGCCATCGAGGAAAAGGAGAACGTGACAGTTTTCATTTGTACATTTACAATGATAGTTATAATTTGTCACGAATGGATCTTTTACCACAATTAAAAAATGTCATAAAAAAACTCATCTGATGACAGTTTATAAATGTCACTCAAACAATCAAAGATTTTGTTCTCCTATCAACAAAAATTTAATGACGATAGTTTATAATTGTCATGAAATGCTTTTTAACGATAGTTTATAATTGTCACGAAATATTTTTTTACGATAGTTTATAATTGACATAATCTTTTTTTAACAATGTTTATAAACGTCAAAATAAACGTAATAATGGCCAAAGTGAGCATAGCTTAGTGTTAATTGGCATATATCTCCAACCAAAAATTTTTTTATAGTGATAGTTTTAACGATCAATATTAGAAGTAATAAATGTCATGAAAATCTTTATATTGACAATTTTTAATCATCATGAATACCTTTGTATGACAAATTCAACTATCACAAAAATCTTATATATGACAATTTTTTTAATCACAATTTGTGTTTAATAAAGGCTTGCAATGCCACGAAGAGTTTATATATGACGCTTTCATAACTATCATGAAATATATTTAATAATATTATACACATTTCGAAGAGATTCTTTATACCTATAAATTCTAAAATGTAACGAAGTTGCATATAATAAGATCAAATTATTCATATACTTTGGTTCATTTTAATTCATGTACTTTCAAAATGTTCATTTTGGTCCATGTAATTTTAAATAGTGAGCATTTTGGTCCCTTAATTTTATTCTTAAACTCATTTTTTCTATCAAAACTTTAATACAACGTTACATTCAATATATTTCTTAGAATATAAATATTACTTTATACTAAAGAGTTTTTGTTAGGTGTAAAATTTGTGTTAAAATTTTACAAAAAGTTACTGTAATGAATATTTTTTAAAAGTACAGGGATCAAAATAAACATTTTCAAAGTACAGGGACTAAAATGAGCCAAAGTTAAAAGTACAGAGACGAAAATAAAAATTTTCAAACACAAGAACTAAAATTAACCAAGGCTAAGACTATAGAAACCAAAATAGTATTTTAACCAAAACAAAAGAAGAAGAAGAAGTTTTTACATTACAACCAAGTATGAAAAGTCCATATAATAGAAGTTTTAAGTTTGTTATTATAACGCTAACATTGATTGACCTAGTAACCTCTTAGAATGTGTCGAAAAAAATAAATAAATAAAGAAATTTTAAGAGAATGAGTTCAAACCCTATTTTATAAACCGTCTAAATAAGATAGAATTAGTCGGAAATGCATACAATATATGATATACTAGAAGATATTTAGATTAAAAAAAAATCAATCTAATTTAATTCAGATCTTGCTTACTAAGCTTGTGTAACTTGGCGTGGGTTTAGATAATTTAGTTTTAGAAAAATGATTACTTCATTGATAGATGAGTATATAAATAAGATTACAAAAAAGCACTCTAATTTAGAGCTACGGTGGATAGTCAATAATTATATAATAACACATATTTAGATGACCCATTAATGAAGCTTTGATAATAATGTCATCCCACGGTTGAGAGTGTTTCTGCCAAATTTTGATCGGACAAAGTAATAGTTTGAGATATCGCTCTTGAGACCAGGAAATCAAAATTGTATATCTGTGTATAGAGCGAGTCTCTTGGTTCTGTCACGTGGCAGGTAGGTTGTTTCAATGGAAACATGAAATTAATGTTTAGGTAGGTGGTCATTATGGGGGTTGAACTCATTCACTCTAAATCATTTTGATTTACCTTAGTTCTTTTGACCAATAAGCCAACCCATGATAGTTAAAGGTGAGACTATTTGAACCTAATCTAATTGTTGTGGTTGCATTGTTTGCAAACAAAGTCCTATATTGGTTAGGGAAGAGAGTGATCCATGGTATATGGATGAGGACAATTATCTCCTTTGGTACGAGCGTTTTGCATGAAACAAAAAACAAAGTCGTGAGGGTTATGTCAAAAGCGGACAATATCATACCATTGTGTAAATATGGAACTGAGTCCATTGTCCTTAACAAGTGGTATCATGGTAAAAAAACCTAGCTGTGTGAGAGAGAAATCATCGGAGACGAGAAACTGCACAAGAATGATTGGTGTGAGTCTTATACTTATTTCAGAAATTGTGGGTGAATCTTCAAGTTGAATAGAAAGTACTTAAAAGTTGAGCAGGACGATCTATCAAGTCATGGAAGTTGATATGCACCAAGTCTCTTGAGTCTAAGTCTTAGGGTGGGCCCGAGTGTCTTTGACTATAGGAGTAAATACTAAAGAACTAGAGATTCCGAGTCATACAAGAAAAGATTTCTCTGCGAACTAGTATGCGAAAAATTTTGGTAGAATTGGGTTTGGATTATAAAGAATTGTTAGTAGAAGAAGAATTGGAATAGGAGATTAGAAGAAAAAGGAAATAGAAAGCCGAAGATAATTAACCCGTCTGTAACCTCTGATTTGGAGGGTTTTCAAAATCTTAAAATCATTTTCAGTGTTTGGATAATTAAAAAAAATTGAAATCTATTTCAAATTCTGTTTTTGATTTAATTACTTTCCGTTCTAAATAGCTGAGATTTTGTGAGGAGTTTAGTTTTAAAATGTAACAAATTCCTATTTTGTCCTATTTTTTATGGGAAAATATATATTTAATTTTGCTTATCATTTTACCTACCTACACCGTACAACCTCTCTTTTACCATCATCAAGCACTCTCTTCTACTATCATCAAGCACCTTCTTCTACGATTATCAAGCAGAAAGTTAGTAATTTTGTAGTTTTCTTATTTTAATAACTATAATCTAAATCTCTAAAATAGAGTTTTTGCATCATCATCCAAGTAAACTCCAGGTTAGATTTCTATTTTGTTATGAATTTTCCTTGTATTTAAATATTTTTTAGATTTTGTTTATGGTTTTTAGGTAGATTTTTCTTCTTTTTTATTTTTCTTTTTCCTCCTTAATTATATATATATATATATATATATATATATATTCTGCTAAATTGTGGTGAAAAGAGATCTTCATAGGTGTTTTTGGTAAGTTTTTTCTCTTTTCCTTTTTAGTTTTAATATTTATTCAATTCTCTTAGGAGATAAATAACAATTTAATTTTTTTTATTTGCATTTCTGGAGGAGTACTATATTTTCCAAGCCAGACAAAACAAAAGGAAAAGAAAAGAAAAAGCTGAAATTATTAGAATCTCTTCCCACACCAAAACATTTATTAGAAAAAAATATATATATATCAAGCAATCCCATCATTTAACTTTTAACTCTGTTGTTGTTTTTTTAATTAATATATTTGAATCAAGCCTTTTACAATTTTTTTAAGTTTATTTTTTAAAATAAATATGACATTATTGCAAGTTTTAATTTTGTTGGGTTGATTTGATTAAATTATTTCATTTTTTCATCATTGAAATTACTGCTTGAGATATTTCAAATAACAAAATATTATAGGCAAATCTTATACTTTCTTTTCAAACATCCAAACAACAAATTAATTTTAGTTTCAATGATTTAGAATAAATTTTGTTCTAAATAAAATCAGAAATTGGAAATCATTTCCATAATTTTAAATCTTGAAATTGAAAATCATTTTCTACCAATTCCAAACACTAAATGAAACGTAAAAAAGAATAAGATAAGGAAATGAAAAGACAAATACATAATGAAAAATGAAGAAGAGTCAAAATAGAAGGAAAACAATTTAAAAAGAGAAATGAAAAAGCATGTATTTTTTTTTTAAACAATGAATTGTCAATTTTTCAAAACTTAATCGAAAACAAAATAGTTTTCAAAATAGGAAAAGAAGAATAAATAGAAGGAAGAAAAGTCACGTAGAAGCACTTAAATTCGTACTCTCATAGATATATATACGTGTAACCTACATATTTAATATTTTATCAAAAAAAAAAAAAACCCTACATATTTAATACGTAGGATTGCTTGATGATATAGGATGAAACAATGGTATTTTCCTTTGAAAAACAAAGAGAGAAATAAATACATTTAGTTATAAATAGGTTTGGGAGTGATTTTGACATGACTGAATCATTTTTACTAATGTCAAATTCACTTTTATTTTAAAATATAATATTTGTCAATGATTTCTAAGTGATTTTGAAAAAAATCTAAACTCATCTTAAGTCATTTCCAGTCAATCATTTCAAGGGTGATTCTCCAAGTGATTTTTGATCAAAATTGATAAAAAAAAAAATTTAATTTTTAAAATTGCTATTGTTTAAATTTTTTGAAATTGTCTTTCTATTCACCTTGAATTTTAATATATATATATATATATATATATATATTTTCTTTTCTAAAATTTTTGTCAATCTCTAATTTTATTTATCTTCTCTTATTTTCGTCTAATTTTTTTTAATCTCTCCAAATTTTTAGTTCCAATCTTTTTCTAAGTTTATTTTGTCTAAAGTTTTTGTCTCTCACACCCTAAAATTTTTCTATAAGATTTTTGTTTGCCACTAACTTCTCTCCCAAAATTTTATCAAATCCTCACTTTAAACTTTAAATATTAATCATTCAAAATCGTTTTTAATTATATAAAAATCACTCCAAAAAGCATGGAACCAAATGTTAAAATAACTATTCCAAAATTAATTATTATTAAATATCTTCTACTAAAATCACTAATTCTAAATTCATTCCAAACAGATCCTAAATCACTCCTAAAAAATCAATCGTAATCGTAATTAAATCTCTTTGTTGAAACCTACCCTATCTTAGTTAGCTCAATATCAAAGTAAAAATGTTAGCTAGTAAATAATGTAAAAAGATGATTTGAATTCAATCTAAATTAGAATACATGTAATTTTCCTTGTATCTATAAATTTGAAGCTCATGGAGCTCTTTCTTTGTCAACCAAAGTTGTTCTAAAATTTAAAAAAAAAAAAAACAAAACAAAACAAAAACCTCGTTCTCCAAATCTCCAATAAAATGGACTCTCAAGTTTCATATCTACTTATTCCTCAAAAAAGTTCATCACCCATCAACGGTGATACTCGTCGATCAGCAAACTTCCCACCAAATATATGGGGAGATTATTTTCTTTCTGGCACTTTTCGTTCCACGGTATAGTAAATCGTTCCTTCTCCTTAATATATAATCTATACATTGATTGGGTTGTGTTAGATATCCAATAATATACGAATAAGTTGTCCTAACTTGTAAGCTTAAGCTATTGGGTTGAGTGGTAGTTTATTCATCCTTAATATGTATTAGAACGGGAGGTCCTGTGTTCCCAACCCATCAACTTAAACTTTTGGGTTGAATGATGCTTTATTCAATTTAAACAATATAACTTTAAATTTTATCGAATCCAATCATACTATTATTATTTTTTAAAGATTTGTAACTAGCTATCACCATTCTTTTGTTTGATATTTGTAATTAAGATTAAGTATTTTATTCTTCAAAGAGAAAAAAAAAAGATTTTAAGTATTTTATATGTTTTGTGGTTAGGTTTGGATATCTTCACGCTTGAACTTGGGTATTTCATGGGTTGATTAATTTTGAGTATTTTGTTGGTTATATTTAATGTAATTTATTGGTTTGTTAGTATCAATCTTAAAAAAAAATGTATTAATTTCACCAGTTATTTAAATTAAGATTTAATTTAATAAAATGAAAGTTTAAATTTAAAATTGAAAATCTTGCTTCAACCCAAATTTATGTTGTTTTTTCTTTTTTTTTTTCTTTTTCAGGAAATAGAAGATAATATTGAGGAAAAAGTTGAAGCACTAGAGGAGGAAGTGAGAAAATTGTTGTTTAGTTATGTTGAGAAATCTTCCCAACAACTAAGCTTGATTGATTCAATCCAACGGTTGGGAATCGCTTATCATTTTGACACCGAAATCAATGAAGCGCTCGATCATGTTTATAAAAATTATAGTTTCGTTAGCAATGAAAGCCAAAAAGATCTTCACATTGTTGCCCTAAAGTTTCACTTGCTTAGACAACAAAGATACTCTATTTCATGTGGTAAGCTCTCACTTATTTATCATTAAAGTTTATAATTTTCTTTTGTCTAAATTAAAATTTCGTTTCGGAGTATTGTGTAAATTTTAAATAGTTTTAATAACATTAGAAATAAAATTTTTTAAAGTAGACAGATTTATTAGTTATATATACTAAAGTTTGGACTTGGTTGTGCGTGGGAGTGAGTTTGAGATTAATACTTTTTAAGTGAAACATTTTTCTATTATTATTATTGTTTATTTATTTATTTATTTTTCGAAGAACAACACTAATTACAGAGCTTATTCTAAAACACTTTAAACTTGTGAGTGCTTTAGAAATTTTGAGCATGGGACTAAACACCATGAATAACTAAAATGATTTTTCTTTTTTTTTCCCTAAAAGTTTAGGGATTGAAATATATATTTTGAAAGTTTAAGGGCCAAAATGGAACAAATCTAAAAATTTACCAGCCAAATTAAGATTTAAGCCTAGGGTTTATATTGTTAAGGAATACACATTGAAAAGATAAAGACCTAATAATAGTTTATAATATTAAGTCGGCTACTCATCTCATTGTCATATTGGTTTTGAGGTGGAATTCATGAATATTGATGGTATCAGAGCTCAAAATCTTAAACGAGCATCTGATCTGAAAAAATAAGGGATCAAATTAACAAGAGTTTATAATATAAATAACCTCCTTCTAAGATGAACTCCATAAATTAAATGATGAACTCCATAAATTAATGTTAATATATATCTCATTAACAAAAAGGCCTTGGAAACAGAGATCTTCGACAAGTTTACCAATGATGAAGGAAATTTCAAGGAATCACTTGCAAATGAGGTACGAGGAATGTTAAGCTTATACGAAGCGTCTCATATGAGGATGCATGGAGAAGACGTGCTCGAACGAGCCCTCACTTTCAGCACCATAAACTTAGAAGCAGCCATTAATAATGGAAGCCATGAAGGGAGCTGTGGGTTTGGAGCTCAAGTGAGGCATGCATTAAAATGGCCAGTCTTCAAAGCCATGCCTAGGCTTGCAGCAAGAAGTTACATATCTTTCTACGAGGAAGATCCATTGCATCACCCTGCCTTGCTTTCCATGGCCAAACTTGATTTTAACATCTTGCAAAAGCTTTACCAGAAAGAACTTCATGAAATCTCAAGGTGAAGGTCATCTCGATATCTTTTAGCTTTCTTTCGAGCTTTTTTTTTTCTTTCCCGATATTTTAAATTACATATGCATACGTATAGCTTCTATGCTTGGTTAAGTTACAAATAATTTGATTCCTAAACTTTTAGAGGTGTGTTTATTTAATCTTTATTTAAATCTTAAATGTTGATATATGTTGAACGACAATGTTTTTTAGAAATGACATTGAAAATATTGATGTTCATTGAATATTCATTCAAAAATCATACAAATCAAGAAATTCATAGAAGTATATTGAAAATCAACAAATACATATTTCGCTCTTTTTAAATAATTTTTTTATTAATACTATATTTGCACTAATGATATTTTATTGATATAATGTCAACTCAACCTTTTTTTCTTTCTTTTTGATAACTATGTGAACTTTCAATTTTACTTTTAATAGATCTTTATTGTTGACTCCCGTTAGTTTAGTGTTTTATGGCACCCATGAGTGTATTATTTAATGATTACAACATATGACATATTGCTAATTTTGAGAAAGTCCAAGCCTTTAGTAAATAGTAAATAGTAAGTTAATATAAAGATTTAATTAATATACACCAAATTGAAAAGGATTTTTTTTTAATACAACATGCGATGAAAATTCAAACTCACAATCTTCTAATCGAAGATGGTGCCTTAACAATAAGGCAAGTTTCGATTTGCGAAAATTGTCTTTTTAAAGTATATGGATTAAATCCACTGCCCTGAAAGTGATTTAACCTTTTTGTGTTTTTGTTATTACAATTTTTTTTTCTTATTATGATTTTTTATTGTATGCACTTGAAATATCATTGTTTATACGAGCCCAGGATTGTTTTTAAGTTGTTTTTTTTTCTCATACCTATATTTTAAAATAATTAAAGTAATTATTTTCTCCCAAAATCTTAGAGATTATAAATAGTGATTCCAAAGGTATGGTAAGCTTTGGTTTTAGAAGTAAAAAAAAAAAAAACCATCTACCTTTTTAATCCATAAATTGATGGAATAAAAATATAAATCAATCGGTCCTAAAAGAATAAGAGATAGAGATAAAAGAACTTAACACAGTTCATGTTACCCTAGTATGATATTGTCCGCTTTGAATAAAACCTTTACAGCTTTGCTTATAGCTTCACACAAAATATCTCGTACCAATAGAGATAATTGTCTTCTTTTATATACCATGGATCACCACCCTCTTCCCTAGCCAATATAGGATTTTGTTTGCACTCCTTACAAACCCAACATAAATAGCTCGAAAATGACTAGCGAACCAATCCTTCGTCTGACTGTTGAACAATAATACTAATTTCAAAATGGTTTTATGTTTTTGTTTTCAAAACTATTTTTGAAAATGGAATGACTTATGCGTTCTGTTATCTCACAAAGTCAGACTTTATATAATTCCAATTTTTGCAAGAACAGTTATCCAAACAGATCTTGAACAGAACTTTGATTCTAGAAAAAAAAAAAAAAAAAGACTTGAAATCAATTTCCAAACAATTATTCTACTTAAATTTTACTTATAGAATGTGTTGCCTCAAGTGGTGGAAAGAGTTGAAGTTGGTGGAAAAGCTGTGTTTTGCAAGAGACAGATGCGTGGAATGCTATACTTGGGCATTGGGAACATACTTTGAGCCTAAATACTCTCTTGGTCGAATAATTTTATCCAAAATTGTGGTCATTACTTCAGTCTTGGATGATATATTCGATCTACGTGGTACATTTGAAGAACTTCAACTCTTCATTCATGCAATCGAGAGGTTCGGTTCCCTCACCTCGTTGAAGATTTTGTTTGATAATAATTTTATATTTTGAAAATCGAGCTCTATCATAATCAGAAGGGCCTTTTTAAATCTCTGCCAAATTTCGGCTTTTCTTTGGTTCATACTTTGATTTTTTAAAAACACTTTACGGAATTATCATGAAAGAAAACTACTTTTTAGTTTTTAGTCTATGGTATTTTAAACATTATATTTATTTAGTTTCTAAATTTTAGAAAGTTTAAATTAGGTTTTCGAACAGCTTGGATCATGTTTCTATTTAATCCATATTATTGTTACTACTAATGAAACAATGATACAACGTGTCCAAAGATAATGAGGATGTCATGTAGTTTGTTAATAATGTAAACATAAGTACAATCTAAAGTAGGGGTGTAATATAATTTTGTTAAAATTTTTTTGAGTTATAAATAAATATAATATTCAACATATACAGCGATATTAATTTGTAATTTAACCATAAAGAAAGTATTAGTAATTAAACGGCGTATAAATTTTAATCGGTATCAAATCTAACTTACTAGAACTATTGCTTGGTCTATAGTATATCTCTTGAATTACAAGTTAAGTTTACATTTTGTTACCACTTTTTAGGTGGGATGATAATTGCATTGACCAACTTCCAAAATACATGAAAGTGTACTGTGAAGTTCTAATGGACACATACAGAAGAATTGAGCAAAATATTAGAAAAGATGGCATTCCTTATGCCACTCATTATGCAAAAGAAGCTATATATTCTCTCTTACCTTATCTTTATTCTTAGTTTCATGGAAAAAAAAATAGTAGTTCTTTCTTCTCCTTCAACATATTTATAAACAAGAGAAAAAAAAACAAACAAACTTGACACGACCCGCCCCAGATTACATTGGAATCTGCTATTGGCACGTCATGTCCTAGGTTGGATACGGTGATCTGGGTCGGGGCAGGTTGTGTCAAAACTCTCCTTCTTTTTTTTTATTTTAGTATTTTCCTTACATGATACAATTCTTTTTGCATACCCAGTGTAGACACCGTATTTGGTCCGACTCGCTTTCGTTTTTTTTTTAAAAATTTATTACTGATTTATTTATTATTATTATTTTTTTTATGTTTATTGATTTAGTTTAAAATAACATAATTTACTTTATTATAAAATTTAATGTAAAGTTTTAATTG